GCGTAGTGCTGACAACACCAAGTCAAGGGTTAAGATCCCCTTACCAGTCATCTTTTAAAAAACGAAAAAAAAGAAATGGTTACTGGTCAAGCCATTGGCTTTTAGGAACTTCCTTGTCCAGTTTGGACTTTGCTGGGTGTTTTATCCATTGGGGAAACATTGCATTCACTGGAAATCATACCACTATTTATGAAAGGAATGGTAGGCATGGGAGAGATTGCATTGTATATAGTAATGGTCTGTGAGCCTATATTTCCTTCAGTTCTCTGATAGAACCTCTAGAAAGAGATTCCTCCACCCCCAGCACTTATGCACATGTTTTTCCCTTGTGTGGAAAGTTTACTTTTAAAGATCCATAGCATTCCTCCCTGCCTGCCTGCCTGCCTGCCTCCCTCCCTCTCTCTCTCCCTCCCTTCCCCCTTCCGTCCTTCCTTCCCTCTTTTTTTTTAATCACTTGCCTCCATTTTTCTTTTCCAGAAAGAAATTATTGTACTAGATTTTCATATTAGAGAATCAGAATCCTTTTAAAAATATGTATATGTTTATTTTGGGAAAATTTACTTTCGAGTCCTCAATATATTTTTGAGATAAGAGGAGATCAGTAATTTGATGTGTATTGATAGGAAACATTTGAAATATTTTAAGTTTACTAATTAATTTGGATTATTTGGCTTAGATAAAAGCATTTTTAAAATGTCACATGCTTCTGGGACTCATGTTTGCTCTAGTCCAAGAGTTGGGAGGCAGGTTTGTGGAAGAAAGGAGGTATTACACTTTTCTGTTTATCCTTCAAAACCATTGACCTTGGAATAGATGTATTTCTCAAATTTATTCATAAATAGCTTTTATATATCTCTTCCTAGGTGTTCCAGTTACTAACTGATCTGAAAGAGCAGCGTAAAGAAAGTGGAAAGAATAAACACAGTTCTGGGCAACAGAACTTGAATACTATCACCTATGAAGTAAGTCTGGGCTTCTGGAGGGCCTGCCTACACTACCGTTGAGGGAGGTTGGTTTATTCTACTGATGACTGGCCACCAAATCAAGATTGCTTCTTATCTGACTTGAGTAGTTTTACTGTAACCCAGTTTTTATTCTGTTTGTAAAAGTGGGAGGAATTTGGCTACCTGCAGGGGTTGGCCAACTACAGAGTTAGAAGGAATAGTCTGTAAGACTGCCCTCGCTTCTAAACACCCATTGCAAGTTTGGGGATCCCTACCCTGAACTACCCTCAGGTTCAATAATTCACTAGAAAGACTTTCAGAACTCACTGAAAGCTATTATATTCACAATTATGATTTATTACAGGGAAAAGATAGAGATTAAGATTGACCAAGGAAAGCAGTTTCCCTTGTCCTCACCTGTGGAGTCAGGACACATTACTCTTCTGAAATGGTTATGTGACAATATGCACAGAATATTGCTAACCAGGGAAGCTCAACTGAACCTCGGTGTCCAGAGTTATTACAAGTGGCCAGTTACCACCCTAAAACTATACAGATGGGGCCAGCCTCCACCCTAAGTTAAGACTATCCAGTATGACCTAAGGCCCCAGGCAGAGATACTCTTATTAGGCATAACATTCCAAGGGCCTGGAGATTACATCCCAGAAAGCTAGGGCAAAAGCCAGACCTTCTCTTTGGGCAAGGCCAAACTCTTTATTACACAAAAAGTAATGCTTTTTATTGTAGAAAACTTAGAAGACACCAAAAGCATGAAGAAGAAAGCAAAAGTAATTCATAATCTTAATAGCTACTTGACAGTTTGCTGTGTTCTCTCCCAATCTTATTCCAATCTTAACAAAGACAGTTTAAAATATTATATTTGTATGTAATAATTGATCTTTATATGTCATTTTAATTTAATGCTCTCTTGGTATTTACTGTCAATTCTGATTTTTACCTCTATAGAGGATTTGGTTTTAATTATCTTTTCAAAGACATTAGTAAACTTAAATCAAGTGATCATAATCCTTAATTTTTAAGGAAAATGAGGGGTTTAGACCTTTCATCACCATTCCTCCTCCTCCAGTGTTGCTCATTTAATCCTGTTTTTAAAATCCTGTTAATTTCTTTATTCACTCATGTTCTTTACATAGTTCATCTCTTACAAGGAAGAAAATGTTTGTTGGTAATTAGTTTTGTAACTAAATGTCAAACTATTGATTTCTCTTAACTCTATACTTGATTAGTCTAAGCTCACTGCCACTCTATGTAAGTTCTTGCTTTTAATTCATGGTGCCTCATGGAAAGTTACTGTGGTATTAAATGTTTTGAGACTTTTTATGCCTGAGAATATAGAATTCTATTGTTCTTAATGCGAATATGAATGTGGAGTTTTGGGGTTCAACTTTTATTCTGCGAAGCTCTATAAGTATTATGTTGTCTATTAGTATTTGGTGTTATGGTCTGAGCCCAATCTGATTTTTGTACTTCTGAGAGACTCTTAACTTAGACACTGTATTAGTCCGTTTTTGTTTCTTATAACAAAGTACATTGAACTGGGTGATTTATAAAGAAAATGAAATTTATCGCTTATAGTTTCTGAGGCTGGGAAGTCCAAAGTCCATCTGGTGGTGGCTGCAGTGACTCAGGGGTCTTACATTGCAAGTTGGTGGAAGCACAGAGAGCAGAGAGAGATAGAGACAGACTCTCCTCTTCTTTTAAAGCCCTCAGAACCGTGCCCTTGACCACCTTTTTTTTTTTGTTTTCCCCTTTTTGTCTTTTTTACTGACCGGCAA